GGTTGATAATAAATCAATAATAATAATAATAATATAAGAACACATTACCCCTCTGTGCCCGACGCCTGAGCTGGCTGTGTCCGGTGCCATAATTACGAGTTATTCGAAAACTTGGCGGAAACTTTCCCAAATTCATGGTTTCGGTACCAATGGAGTCGAGGGTAGCGTTATATGTACCTCTTCGCAAAGAAGGTATAGGACTCATGCGAACGTCCTGCAGCTCGATAATGTCCTCTGTCGTTGAACACGTTTCGGATCTTTCACTCTTTCCTGCGGCAGATGGAAACATTGAATTTGAAAGTTAGAAATCTATAACACATTGCACATATATGACCAGATTGGCTTGACTTTTGAGAGACTTGAATTGTTATGTCTCAATATAAAATCACTAGCGCTTAGAAATAACTTAAAAATATGTCTAAAAGTATGCAATGAAAAATTATAGTCGTATTTCGGGATGTATCACACGGACTTTTGGCTCAAAATATATTGTTGCATACACTTAGACATCTTTTCCGGTAATGTCAAAACCCTAGAGAATTCAGTGGCACCGCCAAAAGATTTTGATTCTTCACCAATTACCTATATTATGAAGTGCTCACGTATAGATGAGATGAGAAAGTAATATGCACTTGCATAATATAACGTACAAGCTATTTAAATGCCAACAATGGAATTGCCATAGCGCTGAACTAAAACTAAAAAGCTCACCGATCTTCCCTGGACAGCAATCCTTGACCTTCTTTATTTTCTTCTTAGCTCTTTTGCCCCAGTACGTATAGTTAACGGCGGCATATTCGAGAAGGGCTGCGAACACAAAGACGAAGCACATGACCAGATAAATGTCGATTGCCTTCACATACGATATACGAGGCAGTGAGCTGCGAACACCGGTGCTAATTGTGGTCATGGTGAGCACCGTGGTGATGCCCAGGGCGACGCGGGCACTTGTGGCCTCGTGGTTGATCCAAAACGAGACCCACGACAGCATCACGATCAGGATGCTGGGCAGATAGGTCTGGAACACAAAGTAACCGATGTTCCGCTGCAGTTTGAATGACAGCGAGAGGCGCTGATAGACCCCAGTGGCCAGTCGCTCCTTGCGATCGTTGGTCTCGTACCCAATGATGGTGAACTGGGGCAGCTCCGCATCCTCCACACCACGAACAGGCGTCGGTTTCCAGTACATGACCACATCACTGACCGTATATCCATCTGCAACAATAAATAATAATAACAATGAATTTATTTGAACGTGTGATTAGACTGCGGAGTTGAGGCGAACAATGGGCTTAAAATATCCTTGTTAAGAATATATTGAACATATATTAAAATATATTTCCATATTTAGAAATATCTATATATTTAGAAAAGTATATAAAATCATTTGGATTGGATTGTTCCAAACAATACATAGATTTTAAAACCCCGGTTGCAAAACGTATTCCCGAACTTTGACATAACACCTTCAATTATAGGAACATCACTTGTATTAGTCTTAAACTTTTCCTTAAAAGATGTATCTAATTTTTGAACTTCACCTCGACACTATTGATCATTCTCAAACATCTATTCAAAAGGAGGGCGATCTTGTTTTACCTCTACACAATAGAGTTTACTTACAGCTCTCTATTTCCACAGTGCAATTCTGGGAGTCTAATGGATAGTAGTGCAAGTCCATCATACACGCGAGGGTCGTGGTGAACCGCATGCCATATGTAACAGCACCGTCGCCGCCGAGGCGAACCAGTTTATTTCTCTCGGTAACGTCGTGCAGAAAGCTATGCCAATATGGGAAAGATTGTGAAGATTTAGTTGCACAGCATTTGGGGGTTTTGAATTGTACCTGTTTTTATCGTTGGCGAAAAACGTGTCTGGTACCCAGATCTTTTCAGCAAAATCTCCTGATAATGTTAGAACATCATTTATGCCATCGTCACTCTCATCGGCGTCAAAATATTGTCCAAAGATATTAAATGCCAAACGCTCATCGCGCCAGTACTGATTTAAATACATCGTTATCGTATAATCCTGATGATTGAAATATCAAATTAATAAGGGTTGTATAGTTAGTAGTTCCATATATAAAGCTCCCACCATGTTAACTTCTGATATGGCGTCAAAGCTGGCTATGGTCAAATCCATGCCGACATGTAGAGGCTCTCCCCCAAAATTGGGCCTGAGACGAATGTCGTAGCCCTGAAGTATGTTTGATATTGTTTGCGTAACATTCTCAAGGCGACCGGCAAGCACATCTTTCCGAATACATCTGAAAAATTCGCTCAGTTTTAAAATATTTTTCTAAACAGCTGGTTTTAAGGAAAATGAATAATTATATTTCAATTTAAATCGGACGAATCCCATTTAAAATGTAATTAAAATTTTGTTTGCGATTTCTTGAAATACATTAACTTTATCAATAACATAAAATCCGATTGCTCGGCTTTATGATAAGCAAAGAGTAGCGGTTATAATCACTTTACAGTTTTAAACTTGCGTTTAGCTTGTTTCGAAGACGAGAAAACGGTCCTAAAGCTTTTTGTACAGAAAGATCCAATTACCAGGCGTACAAATAAATGTATTCCTAATATGTTATTTAAGCTAATTAAGTTATAACATACCGAATAAATTGTAGCTGGGCCCCCAGAAGGAAGAACAGCAGACTACAGGTTACTCCGACGCGCGTAAAACATGTCATATTGACAGCTTTGGCTTGTGTAGTTGTCGGGTCTCAACTTTTTGGAATCGATTGCGCTGTCATTTCCAGCTTTTCTTCTTTCATCGCGGTAGAAAAATCAAATGCATCTGGCTTTCTTAACCCGGCATGGTTTACGGAGCTGTGGATGTGGAATATTTCGATTAGTAAATCATATCATATCACAAGACCAAAAACAAATCCCAAATTCTTTAGTTGCTTTCAAAACTATTGACAAATTCATGCCCGGAATTCCCAAGAATTTTTCTTGTTTTATTCTATTGTTATAGATTGTAAAGCATATAGCATTTAAAACTAATAACCACTCAAAGCCGCGAATTCTTCAGCTTTTGTCTTGTCATAGATAATTAAAGATAATTAATATGCGTTACACAAAAAGTTCATTAACTCAAAGCGTCAGTGATTTTGCACCAGCACCAATTCAAAATAGATGGCGCGAATCATGACGGCACAAACATGTTAAAGGACAATAGATGTAGCAATGCATACATATCTACAACATTTTGTCCTTTTGTCCTCAAAATCAAGGTGTTATGTAATGTGCCCAAAATAAGCATTATGTGAAAAATAATTTTAATGTTTCATTGTCCTTAAATTAACTGTTTTTGGGAACAGCTGAACTAGGTGGCAACACCAAAACAGTGTCCTTGTTTTTCGCAATTAGCATTCTATCGGGTGATTAATATACGCTAATTTTTTTTTTCTTTTTTTACCTAACGCTTTTTCGAGGTCTCAGTTCCCAAATTAACCTGGATACGTTCCAGTGTTGATAACAAAGTATTAAACATTTTTAGGGTGAAGACCCAAACAAAACCTTAATTAGGACAGGCTTATAATTGGGGGGCTATTATTCTGAATGAAAATTGTGTTAAAAGCAAAAATTTTCCGCTGCATTTGGGGTTAACTGATATGAGGATATTAACGAATCGGGCGGAAAGAAGCGCAATAAAATATATGGTTGTTGATAAGAAAACACGTTACTACAACCGCAAGAAAACAAATAAAATCGCGCACATTTGTAAGACACAACTTATGCATTTATGACGGCAGTTTGCCTTGCTTTTTCGTTCGTATCACCAGCACTAGCCAATAAAAAGGGAAATTGCAATCACACACATTTAGATTGATGCATTGACATACTCTATCACTTTTCCCGCTGCTACCTCGATTCCCGATTTCCGATTCCCGAATCTGTCTGTATTTTGGTCCACGCGTAGCCTCGAACTGCTGCGTGTGGGCACCCACAGTATCTATCTAATGAATAATTGCTTATAGAGATGCTTATGCAGGAGCTTCTCGGGTGAGTTCATTTCGCTCGGCTTGACCTGCATTGCGCATCCCTATTATTCAAGTTTGTTCGTTTTATCAAATACATACATATGCCTGTGCTTTCTAAGGATGTTCTTTTTGCTTTTCATATTTGGCGGTTGAGCTTTTTGCAGCGACATCCTGCGGTCGTTGGGCTAAGCTTACCACCTTCAAAGGTTTCCAATTTTTTTACCACTACAAATGGTGATTAAATTAAATATAAGAAATAAAACCCTTTGACATTCATTCCACTTCAAATCATCTAAATATCCAACTTAAGGGAACTTACCACATTCCTTAAATGCTATTGTCGATTAATATTAAAGTCCAGTGCTTCTCAAACTGATCACTTCGCGTTCCCTATTTGCGATTTTTGGTCAGATAAAAGCCCAGTGTCTCTTTAACTGAATGCAGCAGTGCGCTTATCCTTTTCGCAAAAAAGTTAAGTGCTTCTCAAACTTAAGGAACTACATCTCTTATTGCGGTTTTCGATCTAAATAAAAGTGAAGTGCTTCTTAAACTGTAAGGCAACACTGTTTGTCCTATTCCAAACGTAAAATATAATTTAAAACACTCAAATACTGCAAAAATTGGGGTTTATTTGTATCAAAACCCCGGAGATATACCAATTTCGAACCCCCTTTTTAATTTTTTGTGTCGATACAATATATAAGAGCACCGATTAGAAATTCAGCCTTCTGAAAGTAGTTCACATATAAAGGTTTATATATTTACTCCGTATAACTTTAGCATTTATTCTTATGCCTTCATGTTGGACCAGGAGAACTCTTTCTTATACATGCCATAAGTCAGCCAGTACAAAAGGTTCAGAAATGCAAAGGACATCGGGAAGGCTATTCGGGCAACACGATCAATGAGGGACACACTGTTAACATAACAGTTGGCGCCCACTTCAGAGTGTAGTTCACATTCAAAAGTTTGCATATCCTACTGCGTATAATTTTAACATTTATTCTTATGCCTTCATGTTGGACCATGAGAACTCTTTCTTATACATGCCATAAGTCAGCCAGTACAAAAGGTTCAGAAATGCAAAGGACATCGGGAAGGCTATTCGGGCAACACGATCAATGAGGGACACACTGTTAACATAACAGTTGGCGCCCCCCTGCTGGCTTTTTTGCTCCGCTGCTTTGCGTTCTCGCTGTTTCCGGAAACTGTTGTCGCTCTTCAGGCACAACCACATTTGGTGCAGACGGGAAACGGCCGGAGGCTCCGTTTGGGTGGTGCTCTCCATGGTGGCAGGCAGGATATACGATGGCTCCTGTTCGGGAACACAAACGGATAAGTGGCAGTATTTGTACGCCTGTAATTGTGGCTCTTACTTACATTATATGTGGGACAGAAAATGTTTTCGCGCCTAAGAAAACCATCGTATTCGAGGCCCAGAGCATCGTGTTTTTTGCATACGCAGACACCATTCTTGGAGTCAATCGATTCGCTGACACCCCCTTCGTTGTCATCATTTTCGGTGCCATCGCTTGTGTCCTCCTCGTCTGCGAATGGAGCATCGTCCGCATCCTCGGCCACGTGATCCGACGGTTCGTTGGCTATACTAATGTCCTCCCACTGATCCTCCAGCTGAGGACTCTCCCCGCTGCCCAGCTTGGTAAAGTAGTGGACGCCAGCGAACTCCAATAGTGTGGCAATGCAGTAGAGAAAGCTCATCAATAGAAACCAGTCCAGGGCAGTGGCGTACTTCACTTTCGGCAGATCTGTTCGGGAGTCCAAGCTAATGGTGGACAGGGTCAGTACCGATGTCACACATAGACTGACCCTGTCACTCGTGGCCTCGCGATGTATCCAAAACGAGACCCACGACAGAACCACAATCAGTATGCAGGGTACATAGACCTAGATTACATATTTACTAGTAATTATAAATAATATACAAAATTACTCACTTGAATCAGGAAGTATCCAGTGTGTCGTTTGAGATTAAATGCCACATGCAGAACTGAAAAGTCACCTTCGCGACGCACCGTTGTAGAGTTACGATGCATCATGCTGATGAGATCAAATTGATTTAATGTCATCCCCGGAACGAAGGACACGGCATCATCTTGATTTTTCCATTCGTAGATTAGCTGCTGGTTGATATATCCATCTGAAAATTTTAATTCATGGCTTAAAATATGAGCGGAGTATAAGAATGAGTTAAAACTTACAACTTCCAATTACAAGGGGGCATGATTGTCTATCCATTGGAAAGTTTTGCAGCTCCATGGGACACGTAGCCTTAATTGTTAGTCTATATTAAGGGGAAACATTGTATAAATAATACATATTTAAAAGTTTTTCAACAAACCGCATCGAATAAAGAATTCCACCGTTTTGGTCAAGTCGAAGCAATTTGTTTGGGACAGTAATCATGTGTATTTGCGAGTGCTTGCCATTGTAGAAATAAGTGTCTGGCCGCCAAATTTTGTCGAGCATTTTAATGCTGAGAGATAGGCTCTTGATGGGCCCCTTGAAACTGAGACGTTTGTCGCGCCAATACTGTCTGAAGTAGCAGTCCATCGAGTAGTCCATGTCCAGTTCCGAAACAGGGCCCATGCTGCGGATCAGGATGTTGGTCTGCACCACGGTGGGCACTCCTTGTCCGTGGGTGGGCAGCTGCGATTGTTCGTAGCGCTTCAGTAGGTTCTCCAAAATCATTGAAATATTGCGACTGAGCATGTCGGCCGAGGCCTTTCGCGGCACTCGTCTTTGACTTGAGACCTCTGAGAAGTAGTTAACAGGCTTGTTGCTTTGGCGTTTCTTTACCGATCGACTGGTTACTTGTTCAAACGACGGCAATGTGCGAAAGGAGTTGAATATTCTAGAGCTAAACTCGCTTGTTATATTTGGTAATTTCGTTAAGATCCCAGTTTTCTCGAGAGCCTTTATATAAAGTAGATGTGATGAAGTTGGCGCTAGTGTACCATCACTTACGTGTCCCTCACACACACAAAAGATTATAAAAAATCTGAAAGCAAATTATTATACAAATTCGTTTCTTTATTGAGCCCATTGATGTGTTTCTATTAAATAGATCGCTGAGCTTTCATTGCAAATATATTTTTTAAGAATGTTTTAAAACCAATTGGATTGTAAAGTGATGCCAAATACTTTATAGCTAATTACCATACAAAATATACTAGCTCTTTACATTAAAAGTATTACCTTAAAAGCTTATCTTGTTGTAAAGGATCTACTAACTATTAAGATCGGACTTCGGACTTCTGAGAGTTTGTTACCAACTCTTCAATAATCTGTATAACAATCGTTAAAAAAACTAATCTTTTTAATTTAAGACGCTTAGAGGAGATAGTGCTGTAGTAATTAGACAATATAGAGTACTCTAGATATGTCTGACTATTTTTAAATCCGTTGTCGCTCAGCCCCAACGTGTGGGAATTATAAAATCAATCAACTGTTTACCCACTTTTATTGATTGTTTTCCTCATAAGCCAAGTGGGGGACAGGCATTGTAGCCTACATTTTGGAATTGAGGTGCCCAAGCACATATTGCATATTTGATAACGGCTTAGTTAGCATCGATGTAAATATACATGTATGTATGTCAGTTAGCTAATCTCAATTTAAAGCATCACACGATTAAATTTCATTTCAGAATTACCTTTCTTCCTTATTATCTAAAAGTTATTACTAAAGTGAAGTGAAGTTACAGAAGACTTTTGAACTTACCCGCTAACAATTAATAGAGCTTGTGTTTTTCGAAACATTTTTATTATCACGGTTAGCTTACGGGTATATACGAAAACTATTATTTTCCTGGTATGGACGAACACCGAAAGTCTGACATTCTCATCGCTTTTTGGACTTTTCCGTATTAAAAGTGCTGCACGTTGTGACATGCTTTATATAATGCAGCATCAATAGCCGCTGGCATAGTTTGTATTCGGCATGCGCAAAGCATGTTGCAATTAAGTCCGCACGCCTTTTATTTCATGTTCATTTGCGAAAAAACCCTTTTTGTCGCCATAGAACCATGTATGTACATAGTTTCTATTACAATTATGAGACCCTTAGCTTCTGTTACGTTTTTGTTGTGGAATTTAAAAAGTACCTGAAAGTGGTTTAAGATCTAAGCAAGCTTAGCACGTATATCCTTAGGTATTATTTTAGTTATTTTAGCTTAACTAATTTAAAAATAACAAATATTAAAAAAATAAAATACATTTTGTGCATTTTGCAATTCAAATAAGATTAAATTAAGACAAGATGTGTGAAGTGCAGGCCGAATAATTACCCGATCGCATTTCGATCAAGCTGTCTCGAAAACTGCAAACTCCTTACATGTTCGGTCATGAAAAAAGTTTTCTTGGAGCGTTGACCTGATTTTCACATCATGTAGTAGAAGACGAGCTTTTGCCGGCAAGCCAATGTGCTTGACCTACAGGTCACAGTACCCTCGGTCGAATGTCCTGTTGGACTGCCACGGTGAATTTCGAAAATTAAATGCCATTCCAATCCCTTTAACCGTTTAAATATTACAATGGGAACAATTTAGTTAACAGGAAATCTTTGTTGCCAACATCATGTGCTTTAAGGACAACAAAGCACACTTGAGCTTTAGCAAGGCTTGATAAAGCTTTTAGGAAGTTCCTCTTGATTTTCCTTTCTATATGGCAAGCGAAAGCAGTTGTAAAAGCATTTGAAATGCCCAGTTTTAGCCTAAGTTTATATAAATCTATTAAAGGGAAACACTAATTTAAATCATTTTAATGCAAATTTAAAAGGAATTTGTAAATCAAAATAAAAATCAATTTTAAGACAATTTAAAATGTCTGAATTTCTTGTAATCCTTTTAAGACTTAACTTGCATTCGTAAGGTACATATGTATATAGAAATTGTATACTTAAAGAGTAGAGAAACCGACATTTAGTAATTTTACATATATTACCACAATTGTCCACCGATGTTATCCAACAAATTTTGATAAAAGTTTTGTATAGGTAGCCACTACAATAAAATCAAAGAAAAAAGTTGTATTTCAAAAACCATAAAATTGTCCTGCACAGTCGAAGGTAAACATTATATAGTCTATGGTTGTTAACCCTTTATTTTTCACCTACCTGTTGTTGATTAGATCTTATAAAGTAAGATCAGGCTAATGGGTCCCAAACCAAGAAAGACAGAAAATTATTTTGTCTCAAATTTGTTGAGCAAATACAAGAATGCTTTTTTTGTGTATTTAATAGTTCATACATCTGCAAGCATAAAATATATTTACAAACACTGATAGAAAACTTAAGTTGCCAGATATCTTGCTGAAGCCCTGAATGGAATTAAGCCCGCGGTCTTCATGTTGTGAAAATCATCATTATCATCATTATTTTTTAGCTAAACCAGTTTAATAACATTTGTGTTAACCACTTAACCGAACGGTGCTTACATTCTTGGGCTTTGAAAAAAAAAAAACATTGACGCCTCATTAACATTCATTATTAATTATGTTGTACAATTTTTCATACAGACTTAGATCGACGGTCTAGCACTTATAATATAAGAGCTAGCCTTTTAATTTGGCTTACAGACGCACAGTAGTTTTTCGACATAGTTCTGCGAGGGAAATCTCTTTAAAAACTTCCACACTTCCTTTGTGTTTTTAATGTTTGGTTTTAACAATGATTTTATCATTGGCAAACAGATTAATATGTATGTAAACCAAGTTATGGACATTTCAATTGGTTATCATCAAAAGAAAAAAAAAAATGCGCCCAGTAGTAGTAGGATATTTCTTTGTTCAAAGTCGAAGCACCCGAATTACTTAATAGTTATTACCTATTGTTAGAAAATAGGAAAATAATTTATGGATTACATAATTGAATAATATATCATATAATATAATATATTTCGTATTATCTTAAATCCCCTTTCGAGCTTTAACAGGACATGGATGCACTTGTAAAAAAAAAAACAAAAAAAAAACCAAACAAAAGTTAACTGATTCACTGAATTTGTTGTTGCTGGGCAAAAATTAAAAACAGTTTGCTTCCACACACTCACACACACACGCACACACACACACACATTTACAATCAAAGAATCCAAACTGCAGGAGTCGGTATCGAGTAGATTGATCGACTGATCGATCGATCGTTTGCTTTTAAGGACCTTTTCCCTTATGGAGGGCCTTTTGAACTATTTATGCCAGCTATGTGATAGTCGAGAGCGTTGTCAGTTGGATTGTTTTTGTTGAGGGCGACGCCATGGGCGATGGCGTCGGAACAAAAAGGCTCGAGGAAGCCGTCTCCGTGGTAAGACTGCGCTCTTCATAGACCCCTGCTCGTTCCTGTCGACCAAAAAGTACATACATATGTAGTAATTACTACCACAAATACTATACTATAAACGCCATATCTTACATGAGACTTGTCGTATTTGAAACGCTTCCATATGTTCGTCTTGGGCTCCATTGGCGTTCCATCGACATTATAGTTTGGATTCGAGAAGGTTAATACTGATCGACTGGAACCGCGGGAGTTGCGTTTGTTCTTTTTCTTGCTCGTGTTGAAGGCCAGCACTGCAAGTACAAGTTTGTTATATAATAATATTAATAATATAATGATAGGCACTTACTGAAAATCACGAGTATTATGATGACAACCATAACAATGACCACGCCCAGTGCCACCAGGACGAAGAACTCCCGTTCCTGGTCGCTCTTTTTCGTGTGATTATCACCATCCTGGTTACCGACATCGCCCAGTTGCTCCGTGGGCGTGGAATCATCGGTGGACTCGTCCGAGTACTCCAGCAGCTGGTCGTTCTCCAAGCTGGCATGCACCAAAACCTTGGGCTTGGTCGAGCATGCCGCCTCCTTGGCATCCAGAATGTCGGGGCAGGCGCACACGTAGTCCACATAGCGATAGAGACAGAGATGGGTGCACCCTCCGTTGTCCTGGGCGCAGTGGTTCCAACTCTTGGGCTGCCGGCTCAGCGAAACGGCACGGATATCCAGTGCTCCACTGAGGGCATCACGCACCTCGAAGGGATTCCCGAATCCAGTTCGTGGCAGGCGCTGGGATCGGTACACTGATTTGTTGTACCAATCGGTCCAGTATATACTACTGTCGAACTTTAGTTCAGAACGGTTAAGCATTAGTATATCCATTTCTCTTATATCCCAATTATATAATATATTTACTCACCATAGTCAGGCCAAATGGATGCGGTGCGTATGGAACAATCGTTTGACGGCGCTTCCCATTGAAGTCCACTTGGCCAATGTTGTCCTCCAAAGCATCGGCCCAAAGTAATCGCCGATTACTGGTTTTAATAAAAAATAAATAAATTTTTTAAGAATCTCTTGGAACTGAAAATGCAATTTCTATGAATACCCTACTTATTTTTCTTACAAATTTTTTAAGTTTTGCATTGTAATTCATTGTTTTTGTAGGGATTGTACACTAAAAAAAAAAAAAATATATATCAAAAAATTATGGACCATATTCCTTAAATAAAATATGAAAGTAATTATGGGCTTGCTCCTTAAATTATTATTTCACTTAAGGATGTGTTATCCATAATTTCATTATTTTATGTTTTTTTCAGGTGTGGGCATAAATATTATTTTACTGCCACCATCGATTAAAATAACAGAAAATTTGAGTCATCTACCAGATGATTATTTCTAAAATGTAGCTCTATTGTTTAAGATGGTGTAATACATTAAACACATTTGTAGTGGTTTTAATATAATGGCCAGAAAAGTAGAATTTTCCAATGGATTAACTCACCTAAAATCAATTGTCAGGCCTGTTGGAAAACCGATTCCAGAAGTAATCAGAACGGTTCGATTTGAACCATCCAAGTAGCTACGTTCAATTTTTGCTGGTGAACTCCAGTCTGACCAGAACAAATAGCTGCAGAGATACGATATGAATGAAATGCAAATATAATAATAAGGACTACAAAATGCGGATTGAATAGTATTCGTACGCTTTCTTAGGATGTACAATGAGTGAGCGCGGGTCACCCAAATTATCCTCGACAATCCTTTTGCGAGAGCTTCCATCCAAACGAGATACTTCGATTAGTTTGCGATCGGTATCCGACCAATATAGGTTGTCCGCAATCCAGTCGACAGCAATTCCGTTGGGCGTTAGCACATCCGTGCCCACAATCACCTTGCTTTCGGTCAAGTTCAAAAGGTTAACCCTCCGAATGACGTCCAGATTCACATCGGCAAAGAAGAGCAAGTTTCTTCGGTAGTGGTAATCGAGGACAACTGCTCCATGAACGCCATTTATGGGCAAAACGACGTCCATAAAATCTCCAGAATTCAAAGAAATCATGCCAATTCCAGAGCGCAAGGCGATTAGAAGATAATCCTATAATAACATCCAACAAACAAATTTGCAATTAAAGCATAGTTTATAATTGAACCAATGTATTTTAACTGAATAAAATATATTTAAAATTTAAATTACAAGCATTATTAAGTTGATTTAACTGACTATTAAGTAAAATTGTTCGGAATACCAATTCCAATATTGAAAAGTAATCGTTTTTGTAACAGTTATTTAACTCGATATTAAGGACTTGACATGACATTGAAAAATCTGTCTTCAAAAGTTTAAATTTTAATATAAAAAAACCCTTTCCTTGAATAATGTAAAATACAGTAATTAAAATCAATGGGTAGGATTTTAAATGACATTGAGAAATCCGGTCCTAAGAAGTTGAAATAATCCAACTTAAATTGAACAACAAACGTTTCTTGAATAATAAGTAAATATTTCCGAAAGAGTTATTTAACTCAATGTTAAAACTTAACATGACTTTGAGAAATCGGTCCTATTATGTTTTAAAAGACAAATTTAAATGTCATACAAATTTCTCTTAAAATATTATTATTTATGTTGAATATTTGAATACCGTACTCTATTTATGATCAGCGTTTGCACCATTAACTCTTACCTCTGGCAAATTCTGGCATTGCGTAGTGCTATTCTGACGCAATCGCAGTCCAATGGGGCACTGGCAGGAGAAATTAGATGGATTGCGGAGACAGAGGTGCGAGCAGCCACCGTTATTGCGACCACAGACATTTTCGACCATCGCCTGATCCTGATAGATGACCTTGATGTCCATCAGTCCGTCGATATTGGTGATTATGTCCCGCTTTGCCGTAATGTTGCGTCTTTCGGTCATGTGCAAGGCCTTCGACTTCCAGTCCGTCCAATAGATGCTATCCTCCGAAAGGGCCAACGCATACGGATGATGCAGCGAGGACATGATTAACTTGCGCTGATTGCCCGTATAATCACACGAGTCAATGCTCTTGAGGCGTGCATCGACCCAGTAGATTCGCTTACTCTTCAAATCGAGCGACAGTCCGTTTGGCCAGCCCAGATTGGCAGTGACGATGCGGGACCGCTCGTTGCCATCCAAGTGGGAGCGCTCGATCTTGCGATTGTGGCCCCAGTCGGTCCAGAACAATAGGCCAGCCTCGTAGTCGAGGGCCAGGCCGCGCGGCGATTCCAGATCCTTGTAGGCGATCACATGCCGATTGCTGCCATCCAAGCTGGCCACCTCGATGGTGTGACGACCCGCGTCGGCCCAGTAAATGGTCCGGCCAATCGAATCGACCACCAGGCCGTCCGGATTCTCCAGGCTATCGCCGACCACTTTGTGCACATGCAGACCATCGGGACTGGAGCTCATGATCACGTTCTCAATGGTGTCCGACCAGAAGATGTTACCCGTCTGCCTGTCCACGTCCAGGGCCACTGCATTGGAAATGGGCGGCAGTGGCAGAACCACATCGATCAGGTGATCAAAGTCCAGCGATATCTGCCGTATGTCGATCCTGTGGGCGAACAGTATGTACTGGGAGGGTCCCTCGGAGCACGTGTGCCGATCCTCCTTCAGCTGGACGCCCACGGTGCAGGCACACGTGTAGCTGGTGGGATTGAGCAGGCACAGGTGCGAGCATCCGCCGTTCAGCTTGTCGCACGCATTGAAGATGCGCCTCCGTGTGCGATGGAACACCCGGATGTCCATCAGATCCGTACTGTTCGCAATAATCACATTCGTTTCCTTGCCCGTCAGCTTGTCGGCGCTCATCACTGACTTGGTATCCCAATCCGTCCAAAACACACGGCCCTCGCTCACATCCAAGCCGAAGGGATGACCAAGTCCATCTGTTTAAAGACAGGTATTTGTTAAGAAAATATAAGCAAACAAATTGTGATATTATAAGATATATAACATGAGCCCCGACATTATTTTAAGGATTTATTAATTAATTTATTACTAGGTGGATCTAAAAATAACATACTTAAAAAATAAAACAAGAAAAAATTAGCGTTTTCTTTCTTCTTAATATATATACTAAAAAGGTATTTAAATAAATTGTGTTAAAAAAAAACTGCAATGAAAAAAAATGTTTTAAATGTCTTAAAAGACAAGGTTTGCACAATATATTTTGTTTATTTCACAATTAATAAGTATTGAAGTAATTGTGAAATGAATTATTTTTTTTAGAGCTATTATTCAAAAACAAAAAATTGTATATATGTTTTGAAAATAAATTTATTTTAATAAAACCATTTATAAATATTTTAATAAGCAAACCGAAAGTTGTGATCTTCGTGTGAAATGAACTAAATTTTATAAGTTAAAACATGTACTACAAAAAATTAAAGCAATATTTTTTTTAAACAAAAACCTTTTGATAAAACTATAAATTGTTTTTTGTTTGAACGAAGACTCGTAGATATAAAAAAGTAAATCACTTACTTATAATAACTTGGCGGCCACTGCCATCAAAGTTCATGTACTCCAATGTTTTTGTGCCACCGTCAACAAAGTAGAGTTTACTCTTCTCGTAATCAATCGCCAGTCCATTGGGAAAAATTAAATTTTTCGATGATATAATAACGCGGTCATGTCCGTCCATATTGGCACGTTCAATCATGGGATCGTCACCCCAATCCGACCAAAACATAAAGCCATCTGGATAGGAAGAAATACGAAAATATGTATAGAAGTTAAGTTATTGTTATTAACCCAATAACTAGAACAACTTTTGTAAAGAGTTTGGAATTGAAAATAAAGCGTTTTCGACCCATTCATGGAAAACTTTGATTTATGTTAATATAAATTACAATCAGTGTTGGGAAAGGTACGAGTGTTAAGAGCCTAGGTTAGGTACTATATAGGTTTTTTTTAAGTATTTACGTTCGGTAAAAGTTTCAGATAAGGTACAAAATATTTTGTAGCTTAACATTTTTAATAATTTAGGGTATTTATGTCTGATTAGGAATATATTTAAAATAAATAATCAATTAAAATATACCATATATGTTAAAGTTGCAGTGGTACCTAAATTATTTTTATTAATTTAAACGAATATATATTTTAGTATCTAAATACCTAGCTCAGCTTTTTTGTAAAATGTATATAAAAATCAGTATCTAGGTCAGGTAAATGATGGGTCATATATTTGATTACCAATGTGAGCTAATAAGTACCACATTTAGTTAACTGGGTACATACCTAGGTATAGGGCACATATCTAGGTACTCCCCAACAGTTATTGTAATAAAAGTACTGACAAATGAAAATGTACTCAACTTACCAATTGGGTTGACAACGATATCCCGTGGCTTGTAAAGTTTCTCCCAAATGAGCAGTGTCCTCATCTTTCCGTTCGTTGTGGCGACTTCGATGCGATTCGTTGTTGGGTCTGTCCAGTAGAGCTTATCGGTGATCCAGTCCAGGGCCAAGCCCGCGGGGGACACCAAGTTGGAGTGGACCACCCGCTGCTGATAGCTCCCATTGAGATGGGCCTTGTTGATGGTGCTCCGCTCCACGTCCGTCCAGTAGATGAAGTCCGTGTCGCTGCACCAATCCAGGGCGACGGCGTGTTTCAGGTTGTCCAGGGGCACTATCATGTCCACTTCGTTGGGATCGGCCTGGTTGTTCTTGAGGTGCCTCAATCGGATGTCCTTTCGCCGGGCCACCAGTACCAGTTTATCCGCCGTACTCTTACATGTCTTTCCATCCTCCTTCAGGGAGAGACCAATGGGACAGCCACACCTCCTGGAGGTCTTGTTCGGCAGACACAAATGGGAGCAACCTCCTCGCAATCCCCGACGATCCTTCTGACAACGATCGGCGTACTCCGGCTGACGGGCAGGATGATAGGCATGGATGTCCATGGGGAAATGGAAGTTCTCGTGCACCGCTCGAAATTCCTTGCCCGTTATTTTGTCCGCTGCCGACACCGTCTTGGTGTTCCAATCCGTCCAGTACATGGTGTCCTCGAACAGGGTCAACGCGAACGGGTGTGGCAGATGGTCACTGAGCACCTTGTTCCGATCGGTGCCATCCAGATTGGAGCACTCGATGGCATGCTGCTTGGCATCGGCCCAGTAAATCTTGCTGTTGGGAAAGTCGATGGCCAGGCCATTGGGCCAGGTCACACCCTTCGAGATGATCACCTTCCGCTGGCTGCCGTCCATGTAGGAACGCTCGATCTTCGGATTGGGTCCCCAGTCGCTCCAGAAGGCCAGTGCCTCGCCCGGATGCACCACAATGGCACGAGGTTTGTCCAGGTCATAGGAGGCGATGACCGTGCGCAGGTTGCCCTGAAAGTTGGAAACCTCCACACGGCGTGTGCCCGAATCGGTCCAGAAGAGCAAGTCGTGAATCCAGTCCACCGCTATGCCACCCGGCGACTCCAGGCCCCACTTGATGACATCCCGCACCCTCGTCCCGTTCATGTAGACCATCTTGATGACGTCGGTGGACACGTCCGACCAGAACATCAGTCCCTTGCGATGGTGGAAGTCCAAAGCGATGGCGTTGTGCAGTCCCTTCACAATGGCCGTATAGCGATTGTTGCTCAGCGTCACCCGACGAATGTCCCATCGGTTGGCCACCAGCAGGGTCATGGCCCCGCCCAGTGCCTTGCAGGACCTCAAGTCCGGCCTCAGGATGTAGCCCGTTTCGCAGGAGCACTTGAAGGAGCCCATTGTGTTGTGACACTTCTGCGAACAAACCGGACTGGTCAGGTACTGGCATTCATCGATGTCCGTGCAGCTGGAGAACAATGATGATGAAAAAAAAAACACTCAATCAGTTTTGGATGGTGCGAGTTAAGACGGTTTCTTTCCACTTACTTGACCTTGTTTTTGTCCATCACATAACCCAGTCGACAGGCACACTCATCCAGACCCGCATGGGTCTCAATGCAGAGCTGCTCACATGGACTGGGCTCCGGGCACTTCCGCTCCTTGGGACAGTCCGCCTCGTCCTCGCCGGCAGGACACTCGTTGTGGCCATCGCAAATGTGCTTCTGATGAACACAAATTCTGGGGAACACAGGTGATACCAATAGCAAATCATTATAGAATTATATTACATAGTATAGTGTAAAATAGCCCTAAGAGGAGTATTTAAAAAAAATTTTAATTACATTTTTTGTGTTCGTTTTTTAAAGAAAAAAATGTTCTTATCAAATTTCGAATACATTTATCACCAGTTAGATGTCCACCAATGGGTTTTTTTTAAGAAGTTAACAAATACGATTCCAGTTCAAAAATTTAAAACATAAACTTATTTGTTTTATTTATTTAATTTTTGTTTTTATGATAAGATACAAATTGTTTGACAAAATAATATTATTTGATTTAAAAGCTTGACAAGAAATTACTCAATACTCACTTAAGATTTGTAATGTTCTGTTTTGTCGGGCATAAAAACTGCCCCAGGTCGCATTGTAGGTGACACTCTACCTCATCCTCTCCAGTCGTGCAGTCTGGATAACCATCGCAAAGCCAGGTTTTCTAGAAGGAGAATAAAAAAAGCAAAATAATAAAAATAAAATAATAGAGATCAATTGGAATTCCTACACTCAAATTAAAGTTAACCCTACAAACAAGAAATTCGCCCTAGTTTTATCCGCAATGGCATAACCCCATTAAACTTAAACAAAAGTAAGCCTTTTACTAAATATAATTAATTAGTTTTTAAAATGTAAAAAAATATTTATAATAAGTAGGGCATTTTAGGGCTAGAAATATTTATAAAAAAAGGTGACATGTTTGTTGATGACGTATTTATTATTTCAAATTGTTGACCTATGTATCCTAATTCTTTTTTTGTTTTTATGGTAAACCTTTCTTTTATTAATTACAATTTTTAACTTTTTACTTGTTTTTAACTTCACCTGATTTAAAAACACTGTTTAGAAAAAAATTGCTAAAATCTAGAAATTTGTTTTTGGTTTCAGAAAAAGAATTAATTTCTTTGGGGAATTTTCGAAAAGTGGTGTAAATTTATTTTAAGTGGATTTAGAGGTCAAAGGGTGTTCTTTCTAGACTCAGATAACAAAATTACTTGATTTTGGGATACATTTTTTATTAAATGATGATAAAAATGGCCCTAACTTTTTTTAAAGGAAGTTTTTTTTTTCAAAAACAAGAAATTTTGATTCGGTGTGAGGTGTATTTAGAGATCTATGGGGTTATGTTCGACCTACCAAAATGCAGCGACCATTGTTGCAGGTGAACTCGTCGGATCCGCAGGTCAGGGGGTGCTCCGAACTGAGACTGACGCAGTCGTTCTCATCCTCGCCGCCGTCGCAGTCCTGCTCCTTGTCGCACTTCCAGCGCTTGGGGATGCAGGTACCATCGGCGCACTTGTACTCGTTGGAGGTGCACAGCGACGGCTTCTGTGGGCAGTTCTCCTCGTCGCTCCAGTCGCCGCAGTCGTTGTCGCCATCGCAGCGGAACCGATTGAGGATGCACTGGCCACTGGGCCCGCCGGCGCCGCCCAGTCCGCCGCGGCACTTGAACTCCCCCTCCGGACAACTGTTGATCACCGCCGCGCACTTCATCTCGTCGGAGTTGTCGTTGCAGTCCTGTTCGCCATCGCAGCGAAAGGCCAGCGAGATGCAGTAGCCGTCGTTGCAGGTGAAATGCTCGTCCGTGCAGCTGGTGCGATTGCACAGCGACTCGTCCGAGAAGTCCTTGCAGTCGTTCTCGCCATCGCACAGCCACGTCCTCGGAATGCAGAATCCGTTCAGGCACTCGAACTGATCGTCGGTGCAGTTCGTCCTGGCGCCGCAGTGCGTCTCATCCGAGTAGTCGCCACAGTCGTCGTCGCCGTCGCACAGCCAGTACTTGCTGATGCAGCGAAAGGTCCGCGGGCACATCACATGCAGACCCGTCTTTTCGCAGTCTCGCTGCAAATTGGGCATCGAATCCTCCTCGTTGTTGCACGCCGCATTCTCGCCCGAGTTCTCGTTCGAGTTCTGGCAATTGGCATACGTCTCGCCCGGCTGGCTGGGATCGTCCTGCACGAGGACGGCCATGTTGACGCGGAAGGGCTTTTGTTTGTTGCTCGGCCCACCTATGAATCCATCCCGGCCACGGGAACCGATTCGATCCACTTCCCTCTGACCCACGATCTCCGTGCGACTCTTCTGCGCCCCAATGTTCCGGAATTTGGGCGTGTCGCTGGAGGTGGCGCCCCCGCCAGGTGCTCGCGCCTTCGAGGAGGGCACTGGCGGCGACTCCATTGTGGGCACTCGTCCCTCGCCACTGTGATGCACCTCCTGGCTGTCCTCGTTATGGTGATTCTGATAGGGCGGATAGTTGGAGACGGGAAAGAGCTTCTCGCCGAACTTGCTCAACTCCTCGGACAGCTGATCCTCTCGAGACTCCTTCTCGTTCTCGTTCTCCGTCTCCGTCTCTAAGTGACCCGGAACTCTGGCATCCGAGTTCAACTGCTTGTGCTTATGCCAATCCCAACGACCCAGTGCGTTTGTCGGTTGAACTCCATAATGGGGCGCATTACGTTTCACAGCAAGTTTGGTTAAGTCGCCAAGACCGAGACCTACTCCAAAAAATATTCCTTTTAGTTTAAACTCAATTCTTGTTATGGTGCATTTATCCCCTTAGCGAAAACTATTACCTTAATATGTATGTAAAAAAAAATTTGTAAAAATAAAAAAAATAAAAATTTCTTAGGAGTTTAATACTTTATGAACATATATACAGTAAATAAAGAAGACTACTTTGACTACTTTTTTTTGTTATCCTATAACAGCTTAGACCCCGCCCCACTTGGTTATTTATAAATAAATAATTTTAATGTTACAAATTGTTATGTGACCACTCCTTAGTATAAAAAAAATATGAAATTGACAGTAAATGATTAATTAAAATATAACCTACAGAAGCAAATCAAATTAAAAAACATTGTCCAAGACATGTTTTATGAGAATGGCCTTCAAAACTTAAATGGCACTTTAAATGCAATCCTTAGTAGAGAATTTAGAGTTAATTAAACTAAATGTAGCTATTATATCGCTCAAAAGAGAAATGTTACAAGTGGTTACATATATATGTATGTTATTTTTCATGTGGTATGGTTAGTTTTCGCTGTGTGTGTATGGACCATGGACCATGGACATTGCGTGGGCGTTAACAGTGCTCCCCCAAACGAATCATTTCCAAGTGCAATACTTACAGAGCCACACAAAGCAAACCAATGGCCAAAAGGGAAAGGCTGTCAAATACATTGCCAGACATGTACACCAACTCGCCCACTCATAGGCACGTAGGTTGTTGTTGGTTGTGGGTCGTGGGTTCTACGTTGAACCGCAATGTAGCGAGCTTTTCTGCTTCGCGAGCAACTTCTGCCCTGTTAACCGGATGCTGCTGCCGCTGCTGCTGCTGCTGCTGCTGTTACTGTTGCGATTTCTGTTGCGTTTCTGTTAAAAAAAAAGGAGATGTTTTTTTTTTTTTTTTTGTTTGGATAGAGCGCTTGCGTATAACTTATATAGCTACAAAAGGCGGATCTACAGATATATTTTAAGGGGGCCGTACTTTTTTCGAATTGGAAATGTAACTTTTTAAAAACAATCAAATTTGCTCAATGATTTTGTCCTGATAGTACATGTATACAATTTTTAATTTTATTATTTGGTGTGGGGGAGGGTGGAGATACTGTCCTCGAATCCCGCCCACCTGAAGCTGTTGTATGTTTTACACTTGACACTGAATTTTATGCGTGGGTGTCAACTCAATGGGTGGATAAGTTTTCAGTTTTAAAACTTTAGTTTTGTAATTATATAACTTGTTTTTGTTTTTATATTATTAATTCACGTTTTGGTTGACTTCCCCATGATTTTCAATATAACACTCTTTGACTTAATGAAAGGTTAAAACTGGACGTAACAACTTTCTAAATCCAAGTCACACTTCGTTTTTGGACCTCAGATTAAATATTGGGCGGCACATGAAAAACTTCATTTAAACATGGGTTATATATCCATTTATCTACACACAGTGGGCAGACTTTATTTATTGACTGCGTATTTTCAGCACGAGGTTTTACATTATACAAATGTGTATAAAGGAGTTTATAGAGCTCCACAAAATCCATTGAGTAGGAACACGATTTTTAGGGACTTTGTTGGTATTTATGTATGTCATGCGCATCGCACACGCGAACATATGCATATTAAACTGAAGATTGTTAAACGTTAATTGTAGTTATGCACATTTGTTGTTTTTAGCAAGTGGCGAAGACGATTTAACTAGTTTTTTGCTCAACACATTTTGGGAATTATTTATTAAGAAAATTATTTTCATACAGCACGTCTCTTGTCGTCTTCAGGAATATAACGAATATAAAATTTGCGGAGATTACAGCATCCCTCAGTCGGAAATCGAAGTCAGTAGACGCAAATGTTAAACTCAACTCTCGTGTCATGTCCCATTCAAACTTTTCCGTGAATCGTTGAGCTTTTGCTCTCAGGACTCAGGATGCCTGCTGGGAAATGAGCTTTTGTGAATAAATAAATTTGCTAAAGCTTATTTGGAACCATACTTAACAAAGAAACCTAATTAAAGAGAGCAATAAAAAGAATTTGAATGACACTGAGAGATTCTCAATTATAAACAAAGCTAACTACAGCTTTAAATCTTCTAATATCATTTTTTTTTTATTTAAGCAAAGGATGAACACTAAAATCATTCAATTCAAATAAAATGTAAACATTTTATAAATCAGAAAAGCTTCATAACCTTTGTCAACATAAAAAGAGTTACGCTTTTACATAGATAAAACTTTTTATTGAAAACACTTCATTCAACAACCAACAGTAGTTATAGGTTTGCCCCTTAAAAATGTTTTTAATATTTGTTTTAAATTTCTAATGTATCTGCTTAAAATAAAAGTAGTATAACATATTTACAACACTATGTTACTGTATGTAGAAAATTGCAGTGCAGAAATTAAAAATAAAGGCGGTGAATAATGTTAATTTCAAAATCTGAAAATTAAATATTATAACTTTTGTTTTTTTGTGCGAGTTCAACACTTTTTGATTGAAACAAAATACAATTTCTCAAAGAATATTGTGTTATGATTTGTTTTTAGTCGCACAATTTCACCACAACTGCAAAGGTAATTAATGTTATTGGGCACATAATTCGACATTTTATTGTCGATGACCTGCTGGTCACAACATTTCCATCAACGGAAGCTGGAAAAATTGGCGGGGAAAGGAGGGCCGCCAAGATTTAGTTACAAACGATTATCAGCAAACGTCGTTGGGAGTATTTAACATTAAATATCACAGCTCTCTGCAGATTCTTCTAGCATCAAAAACAAAAACTACTATATAGAGAATACGCACGCATTTCCAAGGTTTGTATTGCTGAATTTGTATTTCACAATGAGTATGGCCCGCCAACCTTCCGAAGGCCATCCAAAGAATCAGCAGGAATACACTGAAAATAAACAAATAACTAATAGAATATTCTACCTTTTGTAAGTAAATAAAAATAGGAGTTGGTTAGGAAACAAACACAAAATTAAAGTAGAATGGTACTTTAATTAAGATTATATTTTGTATTCTTTATAACTTAACGGCTTACAACCACCCAAATATATATGTTTGTATTTATACAATGTAAATTTTCAAATTTAAGACGTGATTATGGACGTTACAAATTTAAAAGAAAATAAATATCGCCTGTACCCCATCAATGGTTTTATTTTTAAAATATTGATAGACATTATTTTTTGTTTGTAATTGGTTATATTATTATTTTTAAAGATATTTTTTCCTGTGCCATCAACGACGCAGTTGCTCCCGATCTTGATTCTTGATAAGCGGGAGAGCGCATCATTTACCGCTTGTTCAAGTGCGTTCATCGGCAATATTGCGGCGATAAGCTGCGAACCCGGAGAGCTATAAAGTGGCCAGCAGCCCGGGCGGCGTTTCAGTCAGATCTTGGCCAGCCAGCGAGACACACCGCCTCATCCATTTAACACCCGAAATTACCCAAGACGAAGTCCACCTGCTCCAGCGGATTAGGCGATAAGGCAATCATAAACACAGAGATCTGGTTACGTAAACAGAAAACAGAAATCAGAGAGCAGTGAGCAGAAGGTAGAAGGCAGAAAGTCGGTGAAATGGAAGTACCGCCACCGCTCGTCCTCAAGCGACCGCTGTATGTGCCCAGCAAAACGCTGATGGGTCCGGGACCCTCGAACTGCTCCCATCGCGTCCTGGAGGCCATGAGCAACCCGGTGTTGGGCCACATGCATCCCGAGTGCCTACAGGTGCGTATTACACAGGAAAAAAACATGAGAGCACTGTGTACCTAACATGATTCAATTTAAGTAACTAGTTTTTCATATCTTTTTTAATATTTAAAATCAGAGATTTAAGTATTATATATTTATTTTCAACAACATATACCTATACCTTATTTAATTCTAATTCTTATGTGTTGTTTTCTATTTTTATTTATTTATCTTCGTCTTTATGCTAAGAAAAGGGTATTTAAAAAGGGGTTTCAGCTGTAATAACTCAGAAAAGAATATTTTAACATTGTTTAGCTTTGACTTTCTAAACATAAGCCTCACTGTACTGAGAGTGCTCTATTTACGTTATCGGGACTAAGTGAAACATTGAGATACAATTACCGAGATGGGTCACAGATCTATGGATTGAAAGCACCCCATCTTTTATACTATGTGGTATAATAGTTTGTTGCTTATATGTAGATCTTACAGTTGAAACAAGACATTCTGATGATTTTTAACTGGCAACTCAACTAATATGCACTTATAATGTATATATATTTGAACCGTATAATAAAATATTTTTTTTCTAAAACAAATCATTACACTCAGAAAAGAAAATTCCTTGACATCAGGAAATTAAGGATAATATGTTACATGTTTTTCTACATTTATATGGTAGGCTCAACTTTAAGGTCATGTTTAGTTCTTATTCCTTAAATTAAGGGGTTAATGTCATAATTCTTTTTTTATGAGTAAACTCAACCACACTCAATTCTCTTTAATAATTAAATTTGTATTTACCTTGCAATCCACAGATTATGGACGAGGTGAAGGAGGGCATCAAGTACATCTTTCAGACCCTCAATGATGCCACCATGTGCATCAGTGGTGCTGGCCACTCGGGAATGGAGGCCGCTCTGTGCAATCTGATCGAGGATGGCGATGTGGTGCTCATGGGCATTACGGGTGTTTGGGGCCATCGGGCCGGTGAAATGGCCCGGCGTTACGGGGCCGAAGTCCACTACGTGGAGGCGAGTTTCGGCAGAGCCCTCAGTCTCGACGAGATCACATTCGCCTTCGAGGCCCATCGACCACGCGTTTTCTTCATTGCCCAGGGCGACTCCTCCACGGGCATTATGCAGCAGTCTATCCGAGAGTTGGGCGAACTGTGCCGCAAGTACGATTGCTTCCTGGTCGTGGACACGGTGGCTTCCTTGGGCGGTGCCGAATTCCTGATGGACGAGTGGAAGGTGGATGTGGCGTACACGGGCTCCCAGAAATCCCTCGGCGGTCCGGCCGGACTCACGCCCATTTCGTTCAGTAAACGCGCCCTAACGCGCATCCGGAAGCGCAAAACCAAGCCGAAGGTGTACTACTTCGACATCCTGCTGATCGGCCAGTACTGGGGTTGCTATGGCACCCCCCGGATCTATCATCACACCATATCCTCCACCCTGCTGTACGGATTGCGCGAGGCTCTGGCCCACTTTTGTGCCGTCGGTCTAAAGGCGGTGGTGCGGCGCCATCAGGAGTGCTCCAAGCGGCTGCAACTGGGCATCGAGGAGCTGGGACTGGAGATGTTCGTCCAGCGGGAGGACGAGCGGCTGTCCACGGTGAACACGATCAAGGTGCCCTTTGGAGTGGACTGGCGAAAGGTAGCGGAATACGCCATGCGCAAGTGAGTATTGCAAGCTATTGTTCTTAGCAATAAAATATTTTGTACATAATATATTCAAATTAAGCCGATTCTTTTTAAAACAACCTATTTCGACTAAAACTTGATAACCATACTAAAATCAAAAATTAATATTATTATATACATTAAAACATCACAAATACATAAAATAGTTTTTTAAAATACTAATCTTCGTAAGATCTAAAAATTAAAAACCATTATATATCGATTATTTAAGATCTAATTTCATTTTTAAATTTTACTTTACAAAATCTTAATTTAAACTTCAAATATTTTCAGGTACAGCGTGGAGATCAGCGGCGGATTGGGACCCACTGTGGAGCACGTCTTTCGGATCGGTTTAATGGGCGAAAACGCCACCGTGGAGCGCGTGGACATGGTGCTGAGCATCCTGAACGAGGCCATCCAGAGCAGCAAATTGGGAATTAAGACCGAACGCTCCAAAATTTAATGACGCCTTATTGTTCGCCCTTGTTTTAATTGGTTTTTAAATAAAATATAAATATAAACTTAACAATTTAAACTTATCGCCGATTACAATCGTAGGTACTGGAAATTCATCGCCGATTACCGATTGTAATGCCAGATCAACGTTGCACTTGTTTTCATTATAAATATCGATAAATGGTTTTAATTTAAATAATTTTATTATTTAAAAGCTAAGAGAGATGAAGAAGCAACCTTGAATCGCAAGAACTCCTTACATAAATTATACAGAAAGATCTTTTTAAACTCCTGGGACTCCATTTGATTATTATGTTACATATTAATTGTTATTGTTAAAAAAAAACCCAGTAATAAGTATCAACCGGAAGCTGAAGAACTTTCCTGAAAGAAAAAACTATTTAGGGTCAGCAGACAGCGACAAAAATTGTCTCATCAGATTAAACTCGTGCTTCTCAGAGTGTAATTATTTGAAATCATATCCAAGGGATATCCAAAACGCTTCCATAGCATACACAGCTCATCTAGTAGGCACAAATTTAGGTTCCCCAGCCAATTTGGAACCCATCTTTGAGTGTACTCGGCGGAAAACAATGCGTTACATGGGGGGATACAACTTAGATTTATTGAACGCCGATGCGAAATCGACTCGTCCAAGCACTTCTCACAGACACTTAGATAAAAAAAACAAAAAAAAATTGTACACTTAAATGTTTATTTGTTATCAAAATCAGTGGACGCACATCGCCCAAATCATTTCATCCATCTTGTGTACTTATAAAACTCTCCCAAATCAGCCGCAGATTGGTTTAACCCTGCTTCTGGGCCAATTCGCGGGCCTTAGCGCGCTCCAGCTTGGAGATGCGGGCCAGACTCTTGGAGCCAAGGATGCCACCGCCCCAGTGACGACGGATCTCCTCGTGGCGCTCGTTGAAGTTGGTCTTCACGGCCTCCAGAACCTTGCCGAAGTTGGCCTTGTCGTTGTTGTCGACGGTGGTCAGGGCG